GGAGTAAAGCAGAAGGAAAGAGAAGGGGAGTGGAGAGAGGAGAGGAGAGGAGAGGAGTTGTGCATGTGGAGGTGGTTTCACTGTGTGAAAGTGGAACACTACGAGGTGGAAGAGTTGTGTGTGTGGATGAGGAAGGAGGGTCAACACCAAGGCCATCCAAGTGTTACGCCCAACTGCCTGTACTCTCAGTCATTCCGCACACACATTGCAGCCTGACTGCTGAAGGCCCACCTCCAGCCACGAAGACGCTGTTTCACTGGATGAGGAGAATGCTGAAGCACTACATTTGAGCCACTCAATGCTGATTTTATCGTCTGCTGCTTTCAGACCAAGCGGAATGAGGACACGACTATTATTGAAGCGCAATTCAGCCTTATCTTCTACGCATCATTCTCCTTCCTCCCTCCTCCTCCTCCTCCTCCTCCTTCATCTTTCCTCCTCCCTCCTTGCCTCCTTGCCTCCCTTCCTTTGGTCCTCACTTCCTCTCCACCATCCCCTCTCCTTCCTTCCCTCCCTCCCTCACTCCACTTCCCATATCCCACACACCCTCCTCAACCCTTCCTCCTCCCCCTTCACCCCTCCCACTCATCCACCCTTCCTCCCTTTCTATCTACATTGCCTTCCCAAACGCGCTTTGAATGAGTGCGAAGGTGGTGGGCAAATTGAACGTTTGGCCTCTTCTTCTTCTTCTTCTCCTCCTCCTCCAGACACAGTGCAAGGAGGCCTCCACTCACATTGCACAGACGACGTGCTCGCAATTTGGCGTGTTGAGGGAGATGGAGAAGACGGTGTTGCGCTGTGCATTATCGTGCGTTGTGGGAGAATGGAAGGTGGTGGGAGAGAAGTGGGTCGAAGTTGTCGATGCAGGTGGGGAGCGTGTGGACGTGAATAAAGTAGTGAAATGAATCGGACACACCGATCTACGCCTTGTAACACGTCTCGTGATTGGGCACTTTACTTTGTCAGCACGACCTGTTGAGGCCAATGAATGCGACTTTGGACTGTTGCTGCTACCACCACCACCACCACCACCTCCTCCTCCTCCTC